GCCCAGCCTCTCCCCGAGCCGTGCCATGGGGTCCATGGAGGACACAAGCCCGGCGAGGGTCCCTTGTCACCCTGTGTCCCCATTCCCAGGGATGGGGTGGTGGCTCTTCCATGTGGTGGCCCTTCCATGTGGTGGCCATGCCATGTGGTGGCCGTGCCCTGTGGTGGCCATTCCATGTGGTGGCCATGCCCTGGTGGCCCTGGTGGCCAGGCAGTGCCAGGGTTGGGCACAGAGCCCCGATACGCCCCAGCTCACCCCAAACCCATCCTCCCCCATTGTCCCTGCCCCAAACCCCACCACGCCAGGGTCATCTGGGGACACGCAGGGGGGGTTAGGGAGGGCTGGCAGTGTCCCCCCAGCCCCGTCCCTCACCCCGTGTCCCCCTCCCTGGCACAGTCCCGGAGCTGGCAGCCCGCGGCGTCATCCAGCAGGTCTTCCCCCTGCACGAGCAGAGGATCCTCAAGAGGCTGATGAAGTCCTGGGTGCAGGCGGTCTGTGAGGCTCAGCCCCTCGGTAAGGTGCTGGGGGTGGGGGGTGGGGTGGTATTTGGGGGGTGGTCTGGGGGTCCCGGCCCCGCTCACGCCACCTCGGCCCCCCCAGATGAGATCTGCGACTATTTTGGGGTGAAAATTGCCATGTATTTCGCCTGGTTGGGGTTCTACACCTCGGCCATGGTGTACCCCGCCGTCTTCGGCTCCATCCTCTACACCTTCACCGAGAGCGACCAGGTGAGAGGGGTTGGGAAATGGGGTAAATCCCTCATATTTGGGATTTTTGGTGGGTTTTTTTTCCATCCCTCCTTGCTCCATGTTTTCCCTGTGATGCTTTAATGCTGCTGAGCTGGGGGGCTCCCAGTCCCACGGCGGTGGGGCTTGGGGAAGCAGCGTGGGGGGGGGCTCCCCAGGGTTGTGGGGTGTTGGGGACAGGAGGGGACCGACCCCGGTGCAGTTGGTGCCGTCCGTTGCTGAGCTGGGGGGCTCCCAGTCCCACGGCGGTGGGGCTTGGGGAAGCAGCGTGGGGGGGGGCTCCCCAGGGTTGTGGGGTGTTGGGGACAGGAGGGGACCGACCCCGGTGCAGTTGGTGCCGTCCGTCCCGCAGACCAGCCAGGACATCTGCTGCGTGGTCTTCGCCATCTTCAACGTCATCTGGTCCACACTCTTCCTCGAGGAGTGGAAGCGCCGAGGGGCCGAGTTCGCCTACAAGTGGGGGACGTTGGACACCCCGGCCGAGTCCATCGAGGAGCCCCGGCCCCAGTTCAGGGTGAGTTGGAAGGGGAATTGGGG